GTTTATTTTGAAAGGGAGATAGCAATAGAGAGAGAGATACAGAGAGAGAAAATGTGCAAGTGGGGGAGGGGCAGAGAGAGAGAGAGAGAGAGGGAGAGAGAATCCCAAGCAGGCTCTGCAATGATGAGGGGCTCAAACTCACAAATTGTGAGATCATGACCTGAGCCAAAATCAAGACTCAGACCCTTAACCAACTGAACCACCCAGGTGCCCCTTTATTCTTCTTAGTTTTTGGCAAGGGGGTTGGTTTGGATAGAAGGGAAAATATTACATTTTTTTGTTTGTTTAAAAGATTTTCCAGTTTTATTTGAGGTTTTCACTTACTACCGTTGAGTATGTGTCTTCCAGTCATTTTTGTCTCTGATATCATTCCCTTGTTTTTTGCACTTCAGTGAATTCAGTTTACCCCGACACCTTTTTCACAGCTCTCCTGTGACCTCATTTCATGATTTGTACTGCAGTGTTTTCTTTCCCACATCTCTGCCTTCACAAATTCACTTGATACCTGGATGCACCCAGATATTCCCAGTACATACATATACAGTTTGTTCTTTAGTCATATCCCTTTGTTTAGGTTTAGAAATGTTATTCATTGCTTCTGTAGTGGGTTGCCTCAGCCTTTGCTATTGCTACATGTAACTCTGCTCAAGTAATTCTGGAACAACTCGGAAACAGACAAATAAAGCTTTCTCTCTAGCTTTCTCTCTGTGAATTTTCTTCACTTTGTCCCCTTTCCTCAAGTCAGTTTCTTCCTTTTCACTCCATTTTCCTTCCTTTGTAGTGTCCCTTTCAATGTTAATCTCAGTTTCCATTTTCTTAGTTACATTCGTTTTGTATGACTCTCTGTTCTTTTTCATACTCAGAAGATCTTAGTCACCATCTACTTCTTCTGACACCTTAAACTGTAATCCTGTTGATTCAGAGCTACTGCAGTCTACAGAGCCCTCAATCTTTGAATGTACCAATGGAATCTGTATAATCAGCACCATGGACAGAGGTTCTTGTAGGGATTAATGGGTTTGGAAGACACAAGAATTGGCCTAAACGTACCCATAAAATTAAAACCAAACACATATCATTTTCTGAACATGAAAGATTAATGTTTCCCTAGGGTGTTATGACTTCACTTGATATTCTGTGCTAAAATACCGGCAAAAGAAAAAGCAACTTTTGGTATGTTTTTAGGAAGAGAATTCACATGTTGTCATAGAATTTTAAACCTAGAGGATACCTTAGAGACTAGATAGTCCCTTTTCTTTGTTTTATAGGTAATAAGGTTAAATAACTTCTCCAAATTCATTCATTTTAGAACTTGAGTATTTATTGGTAAAGGATGGGTAGCTTCTCCACTCAAGGTCATATAAATGTTCCAGACAAAACAGGTATTGAATTTAAGACCATCTAACCCTTTTTCTTGAAGTCATGAAGAAAAACATTCATCTTTTGCAACGTAAGCCTCTCTAGATGACTTAGAGGAACCACATTTTCTTACCTCAGATAACAAGTGAGAGGACTTTTCTTTCCATCCCTGGCAAGGTACTCTCCAACCATTTATAAATACAAGGCAGCCATAAGTCATTGTTATTAAGAAGGGAATTAATTGTTTAGATTGAAATGTATCAGGGCACCCGGGAGGCTCAGTCAGTTGGGTGTCCGACTTCGGTTCAGGTCATGATCTTGCAGTCCCTGGGTTCGAGCCCCACGTCGGACTCTGTGTTGACAGCTCAGAGCCTGAAGCCTGCTTCAGATTCTGTGTCTCCCCCTTCTCTGCCCCTCCCATGCTCATGCTCTGTCTCTTTCTGTCTCTCAATAATAAATAAATGTTAAAAAAATAAATTTAAATGTATAGATCAAGGTTCCCAAATTTTGGAAAAGAATTAATGTGTATCAAAGTGCCTAACCTATAGTGAATCCTGGATTTAGTTATTATGAGAAGTTCACCATTGAATTTCATTAGCTGACTGTAAGACTAAAATATAAGGCTTTCTAATTAAACTTGTGAGCTAGAGGGAGAAAATCTAGGATGATATACCAATAGAAGCTTCTGAAAAGTTATAAAGTAGGAAAGAAGGAATGGTTATACATTATTCTTTGCAACTATTTACAAATTAGCCATCATCCCTATTGAAGGTCTATGGTCCCCCTTGTCCTCAAATATGATTATGATGTCACTGACCTATTACCAGAGAACATTTGCTTTTTGAGTTGCTTCTGGTGGGCAGTGCAGTGTGTGACTAGCACAGAAGGCCCCTCATGTAAACAACTAGGGCACATATGCAAGATGGCTGTCTGGGGTCAGGGTATGGTCTATGGCCGTGAAATGGAGCAAAGCCAATTAGGCTGTATGTGGATCAAGCCTGTGACCTTGACCTCATTAGCACCGTGCTCTGCCCAGCTAAACTAACTGGCCCCAGATGGTTAAGCTTAGTGCAGCATTTTGTGTACAAGTATCCTAGAGCACAGTCAGGCAATGCAAAGTTTTGAACTGAGCACTTTTTATGTCTGACTCCTAAATGAATGACATACAAAAGAGCTTGATGTTTTCCTTCTTTCTTATGGTTAAAGAAGAATGGAGAATTTTATTCTAGACCCCTTGAAACTCAATACTCTTCTGGGTTGCTCCCTCTCCTCCTCTTCAATTATGAGAGTAGTTGTAAAGTGCCATATCCTGACCTTGCTTGCTTTGGCAAGTTTAACAAGCCATTGTGGTAGAAACAAGGTATTGCCCAGAGGCCACTAGAATTCATTTGGTATTTGCTCCCTATTCCACAGGGTCCTCTCTCTGACACACATGTTGACAGCCTGAGAACTTGCAGAAATTTTTCTACAGTTTTATGCCTTAAAAAAAACCCCAACTTTGTTGGCCCTTTGTTTAGGGATTGGTAGCCTCTTCTATTTTACTTATTTTCTCAAAAGATTACTTTTAAATAGACTCAGTCAATCAAAAACTATTTCATGATCACCTACAATCAACTGTGATAAGCTACTTGACTAGTAAGAGCGTAAGTTATTCAAGTACATTAAGTGTAAGAGTGTATTTTCAAGGATGTTATAGTCTAATAAGAAATACATGTGTGGATGCACACACATTGTCTGTCTATCTATCTATCTATCTATCTATCTATCTATCTATCTATCTATTTATGTATCTTTCTGTCTAATCACTTTAAAGATGAACTAATAATATAAATCAAGGTAGGTATGAGCATTTGGAGTGTATGAATCATCAAATAGTTCAATTTAAGTTAAGAAGACGTACTATTTCAGCAGTGAATCCTCAGCATATTTTATAGCAATGATTTCCAAAGTGTGAAAAAGCAGCCAACTTTGAGGATTAGAAGAATTGGACTTTGGTGTGCTTAGAGTTCGAAATAAGAAGAGACTGTCTAAGCTTTTATTCCTGCTACTTCTCCCGCTCTGATTATTGAGCTTACTGTCTATTCCCCTTCATAGGAGGATGTTTCCTGCCATGAGAGTAAAAATCACTGGCCTGGACCCACACCAGCAATACTACATAGCAATGGACATTGTGCCTGTGGACAATAAAAGATACAGGTAATGATGACTCTGGGGTGTGGAACTGTGGACATCACCAGCATTCCAAGACAGTTCTTTAAACTCATTAGGTGAAGCATTTTAACAGTGCACTGTACTATGCACTAAACAGGGAACAAGGATGGCAGATATGCCCATAACCCATAGCAGAGCACCAGGCGGGAAGTAGTCACAAGTGCTTAGAAATCAGGACTTAGTAACGGGTTAGAGTGGAATCCTCCCTTGTCTCTGGAAAGAGTGAGCTTGTATAGTGTCTGCAAGGGTTGCAGAAATCAAATGGATGTTAAGTCTAAAATGAAGTCAGTTAAACATTGAAAGTGATTAACATATTGAATGATTTGGTTTATGGAATGCTAAATGAGTTGAGATGATTTATTTTGGAGAGGTGGAGGAGAAGTGGACCAGTGTAGTATATTCAATCATATAGCTGATGGCTTGCCCTGTGGATGAGGGAGGGCAACAAGAGGAGGACTGGGTAAGATTTCAAGAATAACTTTTAGTTAGGTGAATTATTGTTTATCAAACTGTGTTGTGAGTGAGTTTGTTAAATAGCTTTCCTTCAGAGTCATTAAAGACCAATACAATGTGTTTGTCTCTTGGATGGCTTACATGTATTTATTTATTTATTTATTTATTTATTTATTTATTTATTTGTTTATTATGTAGTTCTTATTTAAAACAAGCTGTGGCATAATCAATCTCTTGAGATTTCAATCAAATCAGTGAATCATGACTCATTTTCAAAATATTTGAGTACTTGGCTTTAAATCCAAGAATTAGGAGGCAAGAGATGAATGAAGGGGGAAGACCAGGACTAGTATGGTAGAGGGAGAGAGCTGGCTAAGAGAGAAGTGATCTAGATACAGGACTCAGGACAGGAGATGCTTCTGATCTGTTTCAGAGGATCATGGGAGTTGTGATTTGGATTGAGTGTCTCTGTTTGCTAGGGTCCAGGTCCCGCATGGTCCTTTATAAGTGAAAAGCAGGGAAGTGTCACATCCACGGAGAACTCTCTTCAGAACTATATATAGGGCAATTGGCAAATTCTGGAAAACTGACCTCCTTTGCTACCAACAACATCTCTTACTTTCAGTGGCTTTGTGGGAAAATAACATGGAGGATGATGACATTCCAAACTGGGTTCATCAAAGAAACCCTAAAACTCTATCTGGGAAGACTTGGTGGTGTTTCTGGGAATGGTTGCACTAAGACAGAGACCCTCTATTTTCATAGAAATGCCTCCAAATTCTGATTCTCAGCAAAGAAATGGTTAACAAGTGAGAGGCTCGGAAGGTCTCTGCACATGGCTGTGTTTTATAGGACAATATGGAAGATGTTTTTAATAAGGAACCAAATCCTGAACAAGTGGCCAACGGATTATATGGTTTGCATTTGAAAGGTGAAAGGTTGCAGTAAAATACCTTTTCCATAGCTAGACACGTGGGTTCAGGATGCCTGTGTGCACACAGGGGTGCAAGGCAAGGAGAGGGAGAAGAAAGGAAAAGGACTGTGAGAATGTTTTCCTTGTGAGGGCTGCAGCTTTGATCATTAACCACAACACTTTGCTGCCCTCCCCCACCCCACCTCATTCTCCATTTTCGTCTCTGTCTGATTGTCCCTGCTTATCTGCCCTTCTCTTTTTCTCCTTGTATTCTCTCTTTAATCCCTACTGTTTCCATCTTGTCATCTCTCTGTCCCTCCCCTCTCCTGTCTCTACTGGCGTCCTGGGCTTCTCTTCCCTCTGTATCTCTCTCTGATTTCTCCTCTCTCCCTCTCTGCCTCAGATATGTGTACCACAGCTCCAAGTGGATGGTGGCTGGCAATGCGGACTCCCCTGTGCCCCCAAGAGTTTATATACACCCTGATTCTCTAGCTTCTGGAGACACTTGGATGAGACAGGTGGTCAGTTTCGACAAACTCAAGCTGACCAACAATGAATTGGATGATCAAGGACATGTGAGTCAAAGAATCCCATCCATCTCCCTCTTCCTCCCTTTTGGCTCTAAAGCTGACTAGCCCCAGGCTTTTCCAAATGTGTAAAATAAGAATCTCTATGCCACTTTGAGTCATTTTAAGTGAGTAATCCTAAAAGTTCTTTTTTCCTCCTGCGAAATTTCATTTATTACAAATCTAACATTTAGCAAATGTCTGCTGTGCATCAGGTTGTGTTTACCAGACCCCGTTCTCATGCTCCAGGGACCCATAGTCTAATCAAGGGAGAGGTTAAAGACAGAAGCACAGGACGTGTTTTAAAATGGTGAAAGAAATCACACCATTCAGTGGAATAACTCACAGGGCAATAAACTCAGAGAAACAATTAAGGTGACAGTTTGGGTGGATTTGCCAAGTAATTTATGCATTTTTAAGAGAAGAATAAGTCTTAAGACTTTCCAGGTATAATTAGGGCACTTGATGTTGTTAATTTATCTTTATAACTTCCACTGGATGCCAAGATCCATACTGAGTGCTGCAGGAAGATCAAAGAAGGAAAACCATGGCTCCCATCTTTACGGAAATGACGATATTCTGAGGAATACCATTCACTCTCACAGGACATAAGGAATGTCCATAAATTTAGTAACAAGGTACAAATAATAGCTGATAGAATTTAAAGACAACACGAGCCCATGATGAACATTTGAAGCAGGAAGGAGCAGCTGTCACATAGCAGAGGGTCTGAGATCTTTTAGCAGAGTGTTGTCTTCTGGGATTGGGACAGTTGTTCAGTATGGCCGGTTAAAGCAAGTGTACTACATCACCACCTGTGACTGGGGTACTCTGCTGTATGGTTCCGTGCAGTGCTATCCAATCACTTAGTCCTTCCTGCCGCGGGCAAGAACACTGACTTCCGGTTTCCTGTACATCCCAGTCCCAGTCTCTGTTCTTCCTGTGATGCTTCTGTCCTGCGATTGTATTTGTCTGCGAGTTCGAAACGCTCTTTGAGTCTAGCATAATGCTGCCCCTTCTCATTTCAGATCATTCTGCACTCTATGCACAAATACCAGCCTCGAGTTCACGTGATCCGCAAGGATTTCAGCAGTGACCTGTCGCCCACCAAACCTGTCCCTGTTGGGGATGGAGTGAAAACATTCAACTTTCCTGAGACCGTGTTCACCACAGTCACAGCCTACCAGAACCAGCAGGTAAGAGGCTGCCTTTGAGAGTCTCTTGCTGCATCAGCTTTTAAAGGAGCTTATTCATGCTCTTGGTAAGAAATAGTCCTTCTACGTGATACTGAAGAGCCGGAATGAGCGATGCCAGGCTTGCTCTGCAAACACCATGCTGGTGATGACAAGCCGTGATGCCTGGTAGCAGCTGGTATAGTCTAGATTTAGATCAAAGACAAAATCTTTGACCAGGAGGACCGAATCTCCTCAGTCATTTTCAACCTGTACTTGGACCTGTGTTCATGATCTCCCCTGCATTCTCGCAAATGTTCTTCATCATTTGCAAGTACCAAGGTTTGATTCATTCCTTCCCTCTTCTCTGCAACTTTCTGTGTATCCCTGCATCGGCTACATCAAAGTCATCAAGCCTCTCCAGCTCCACTGAAGACCCAACTGCTTTCATTTACACTATCAGACTAAATTTACCTCTGTGTGATCACCAGCCACACCCTAACATCTGTGTTTTGATGTCAGCAATATGTTTCTTCATTACATAAATATTCTAGAACTTACAATATTGCACGTTTAGTAGGGAGATCGAGCAGGTGAAGACTTATTTCTCCACGAGGAAAGAAAAGTTTGAGTTGAGTGAAAGACACGTAAATACACAAGGATAAAACAGTGGAATTGAAGGACAGAGACGTGGAGAGGGTGCTTTTGGGTTTGGGGAATGAGGGATGTTTTCCCGGAGGAGTCGATGCTTTCTCTGATGTTGAGACGTGCATAAAAATTGGCCAGACTAATGGGGGAAGTATGTGGGGATGGGGCATAGGGAGAGGGGGAGAGATGGTGAGTCTGCAATCGTTGTGGGCATTCTAGACAATGTTCTTGTTTTGAGGAGGGTGGCTCGATGGATCTACAAGTGATCTCACTTTATGCAATTCCCGACAGTTGCATGTGAATTTTGTTTTTGTAAATTAGAGTGTATTTCATCTTTTGACAATTTGTCTCCTCAATAGGATCCTGCAGTGACTCCCTTTCTGAAAATAAGAGTTTTCACTTGTTTATTTTAATATGCCTGCATATTTTTATTTTGGGCCTACTTGGAGCAAAATGAACTTTCTACCACAACACTCAATACCTTTCGTACTTGGATACTATGCTTAGTGCTCTAAGAAAGAAATAGAGGAAAAATAATCATTTACTAAATATTA